ATAAAAATGTATGTAGATTATTTGCTTCGACTCTTTTCTGTAGAGTGCTCCTCCCAATAAAGCTAATAATGCATGTGCGTATCGAGATAATATGTGGTTTTGTATGCAAATATTCGCATATGTATATATTGTATATTATACTGTTTTTTTTTGTTTTTCATTCTCATTGTCCTCTGCTTCTGTTTGCAGGAACGAATGAGTTACGACCAACAAAGGATCGCCCAACTCCGCCACGAAATCGGAATCCAACGAAAGACAGTCGAAAGGGCCCGAGCGTTGATCGCGTGAGCGCACGAAACGAAATAAAATAAATAAATAAACAAATAATATATATGCCCACATTTAATAATATATATCTATGCATATGTGTACATATATGTACATTAAATAATACATAGGTGCATCTCTAAACAAGTAGGTATATATATATACTATATATTATATATTATATATACATAACAACACCCGAATTGAATGCAACAAATCTGAATGCGAAACCTTCAGAAAAAAGGCGGCGCGCAACGAACAGTAGTCAAGGGAGGAAGGATTGCCCATATGCGCCGCTAGGTGCACAGCAGACGAAATTAAACTATTCATAATACACAACAATGCCAATTATTTATTCACAACATCAAGGATATCAAAGGAGAATCAAACAAGAAAGAACAAGAAGAAACAAATTCTGTTATCCTTTGTCACATGTTAATGTCCCGCACCCGCAAGCCCCTCAGCCGGCTTATTGCGAATCCAATCTGCGTAAAAAAACACAAGAATAAAATGCATTTAAAAAGTATAGGCTTCCCCTATCACTCTTCATTAAAGAATCCTTTTGTGCTTAATGCAACTAGTTAAACGAAACGAATCAAAGTCGCACTACGCCTTCCTATATATATATATATATATATATATATATTAGATGCATATTTACAGGCCCGTTGTCCCGAGTTGTCGAGCATTTCGAGTTTCGTTTTTCGTTCTCTCAGGCGTCACTCCACAAATCGGAAACAGCAGCATTATTAGACAGAAATGACAATGGACATAAGTAACAGCCATAGTGAACGGAAATAACAACGTCAATGGACATGAATAACAACTTCAGTCAACAGAAGAAACTTCTTCGCTTTTACCTCAAGCTCTCGCGGGAGCGCAAGGTCCCCCTGCAGCAGAAACGCAGGGTATCAACAAAACAAAACAACCCATCAACTGCTGGGGATTCTCTACACAAATGAAACCTGGGAAAGAACTAAAAGCAGAATATCATTCAAAAGAGGAACATGCAGGAGAATATCATTCAGAAGAAGAACACAATTTTAAAGAACAAAATCGTTCAAAATAACGTCTACAAGAACAACATTCAAAACAAAACTACCTTGCAAAAAACAACATTCACAAGAAAGACATTAATCAAGAGAAGAACATAACTCAAAATAAAACCAACCACATGAGCATCAATTGAGATGGGAATATCATTCGAAAGAACACTATTCAAGAAAAGGGCCTCATGCAAACCCAGAAAAGCATTCAAAAGAACACCATTCGGAAGACGTTCAAGAAAGGAAAAGCATTCGGAAGAGAAGTATCATTAAAAAGAGTAGCATTTGAATCAACGTAATTCAAAAGGACAATATTGTTCAAAAGTCGAAAGGGGAACATCAATTGGAAGAAGAACATTGTTCAAAAGAAGCACAGCAATCAAAAGAACACCATTCAAAAGAAGAACATCAATGAAAGAACACGATTCAGAGGGAGAACAGCAATAAAAAGAACAGCAATAAAAAGAAGAACATTGAATTCGTCTTACTACTGGATGGTCCCAAGTGCTCAGACAGTCTAGGAAAGGATGCTTGATTCCTCCTGCAAACATTATTAACATTTCCTGATGTTATATCTTTAAAGTTATAATTGCAGGGAAGATATATAATATGCACAAATATATATATATATATATATACACGGATATAGATGCATCTGTTCAGCAGATATATGCATTTTTAAACACATACGTAAGCTTCTATCTATAAATACAACATGTATGCACGTATATAGGCGTATAGCTTACGTATACCTATATCTGCATGCGTACACATATATGATTTTCTCTGTCTAAATATCTATATCCGTTTCTTATCTACACAAATAAACATGTATATGTCTAAATATACACGCACATATATAATATGCATATTGCTTTCCATATATTCATATACAGGTGCTGCTGCTTACCTGCTGCAGAGCCCTCAACAATCATTTGGTACTGGGCTTCTATCATTGTTTTCAGACTTCTGCGAATTTGCCAATAAACAAATTGAAAAGAGGTTTCATAGTGTGCAATTGCGTCTTTGATTTTGAATTGAAAAACTACCAATAGACAAACCAACATCTGTATGAACACCCGTTCGAACATCTTCATCAGCTAGCTGCCTGCTTCCGTGAGCCCTAAACCCTAAACCCTAACCCATAACAAGAATCAAGATGGCCATCATCTTCCTGCCTTCCCTAAACCCCAACCGGTAACTCCTAAACATTCTCATCAGCTTTCTGCCCCGCGTAGGCCCTAAACCCTAAACCCTAAACCCTAAACTCTCAACCCTAAGCCCTCGCTCAAGATATTCATCAGCTTACTGTTTCCCCTTGCTCCTCAGGCGTTCGTAGTTCCTTGCAAGCTGCTGAATGAAGCAAGCAATTGCTCTTGTTTGAGAGGCTTCAATAAGTTGTTCAACTCCCGAAACATCAATAGTGGTGGTGCCGTAGGCAATCGAACGCGTGCCCCCCACCTTCACTTTGCCGTTAGGCCGTAGACAGTCTATGAACGAGATCAAGGGATAAAACCACAAACAACATAAAAATACCTCTTTCAAAATTGAATGCTAAACGAAAAGCAACAGCATATTGCGCTGCACTACACAGAACACACAGGCAAAGAGGCAGCTGCATAAATCTAGCCTTTAGAGAGCATCCAATGGTGGTGTATTAATGCATGAAATAAAAAGGAAATAAATCACAACGCACGCTCAACAACAGCGCGCTCGCGAACAGCTCCAAATGGTACATTTGCGTGGCTAAGGGGAGTCTGTAGCTGAAACTGCAGCGCAGCAACGCAGGAGAAAAAAGCAAATAAAATACAAAAATCGCTCAAATATCTGCATGATGCACTACACAACTACACGCATAAAGCACCCTTAGACACTCCTTAAACACCATCTTTATATAGCAGCATTTGGATACAGTATCATATCTGTAGAGCAGCATATATATATATATACATATATATATATATATATAACACAGGGGGAGTGGGTAGACCGAGATTCTTTCAAGCCTCCCACTTTCTGAATTCTTGTCCTGTTGAAATATTTGTGTGTTATTTTTTTCGAAGGAGAACGATTTCTTAGTTTTGTCTTCTTAAAGGTTTAGAATTTTTGCATTTTGTTCTTATGAAGGTTAATGCCTACAGTGCTATAAGTTTCAAAGGGATTAGGGTTTTTGCATTTTATTCGTTTGAGGGTTTGTGGCGTTTCTTTCTGTTGGCTTAGGGTTTTAGGGTTTAGGGTTTTAGCATTGTAAGCTGACCGTGGCTGCGCTGTTGCTGGCAAATTGGCGGGCGATTTCTTTAGCTTGTTTAGTGACATTAAATGCCTCGTATTTGTCGAACTGCAGAACGACATCTGCGACCTCAAAGAAATCTCCACTGCCCCCAATGACCATGACTGTAGATACACCAAGTTCGGTGTACAGGCGCTTCACTCGGAATAAGAAGGGAGTTATAGGCTCCTTCTCCTTTGCTGCAGACACAAACAAGCGCATCAGCAGCATCAAGAACAATCCATTGGTGCAGAGGCCACGCTTAGGACAGCACGAATGCAGGTGCTTATTATTAAGCTTCATCGATATATCTTATATATAGGCATTTACATGTTACGTTTTTGGATATATATACACCATATACATCTATGTGTCGATGAATAAGATATACATACATAATGCTATATAGCATATATATGTGTACATATCCATGCGCATATGTACATGCCATGTATATGCACAAGATTTATACCATGGTGCTTACCAACAAGCGCCTGCATTCTTGCGTCTCTAATCATAAAGTTCGTTGCGCAAGTGTCTTCGTCTATCAACAAAGCGGAGGCCCCAAACTCGAGGGCTTCCATTATGTTGGCGGCCTGTGAAGTGCTACCCGATGCATCTTGAGACGAAAACGAATTTGTGCTCTTGCCGAAAGGCAAGTTGCTGATGAAGGGAGATATGTCTGCAGACACAACAACAGCCGAACGACCGAACAAACTAACAAACGAAATAAGTAAATAATCACACAGACAAGCGCGCAAACTGAATAACTAGCCAAACAAGTACAAGCAAACTAACTAAACCACTACACACAAACACACGATACAAATCAAGAACGTAATCGGCCTCGCACTGCAAATACGTCTATGCCTATGCATTTATGCATTTATTCATTTGCTTGTTGATTTCAATACTACTGCAGCAGATCGACGCCCACCAACTGAGGTGACGACCCTCCCGTCTTCCGCACGAATCTGCACGAAATCGCGAATTACAAATTAAAAAGACTAATACTAAGTAAATAATTAAACTTTGAGGCACTAGTCATCTAAATTTCAAAAATACAAAATCGAAGACAGCGCACTTGAAGGTTCCTTCAGTCTATAGTTGAATCAGGTGATTGCGGTAACAACCACTAAAGAAAAAGATCGTTTCGAAAACATTTTATTCCTTCACTTTCAACAGATGCATTATGAAGTGAAGCTATTAACGTGAAACAGTAGGAAATAGAAACACCATTTAGTGTTTAATATGGATTATTCGTCCATGCAACATATTCCAAACGTGCATCAATTCAACTTCACGAGAGATTTGATAATTGAATAGTGAGTGAACCCTAAACTAATTATAGTAGTTATATATATTATTTTGTATTTAATGATAAATTCTTACCTTCACAGCATTTGGCTCAGTAATCACAAACTCTCTGCCGTCCCCCGGTATTTTATTATACACCCCAACCTGCAGCGCTTCTAACATCGTCGACTTTCCATGGAAACCACCGCCAACAATTAAAGTAATACCTCGGGGGATCCCCATGCCGCGCACTGCAGAAACAGCAACACAGGGATAAGGGTTTTAGTCTTGTTGCTTTCGAAACAGTTTGAATTGCCTCTAAACATTTCGTGCTTGTCTAGTGCTGCAGGACTCAGGAAACCCTTTCTCAAGGGTTTAAATCAACGGAACGCGTGTCAGGGGGATGCAAAGCTTAGGTCTTAGGGTTGCGCGTTTAGGGGGCCTTAGTGTTTTGTTCACCTATGCCACGGTTGGGCAGAGTAAATGCGCATTCTAAATCCGCAGGTGACTGAAACAAAACTAAATTGGGTTCCTGCAAAACCAACCCGAAGACAAAACATTAAAAAAGAATATCTTGAAGCCGCCAATACAACCACACATACGCAATAAGCCCCCCCTTCACCCCTGCCATCCAACACCCGCAGCTAGCGCAACAGCAGCAGATGCAGCAGCAGAAGAAGAAAAGCAGCAGCAGCAAAACCAGAACCAGCAGCAAAGTAGCAGCAGCAGAAGCAGAACGGGCAGCAGCAGCAGCAGCCGCATCTGAATTGTAAACAACAGAAATTCACAACTCACTTGCGCCTTTGTCATGGGCGTGTCATCCACCCCGCTGCGGCGTGGCAGACAGGAGCCGTTAGCAACGAAAGAAGTTAGGTTGCGTTCTCGCAGTTGAGAACGCAGAGCTGCAGCAAACAAACAATCCTGTGCTCTTCTAACCTCATGCATGCATGCATGCATGTACGCAAGTACTCACGAAACCAAGGGGAAGTACGTGCGCGTGCATGCAACAGACTGCTGGTCTACGCTGTAGCAGTGCATGCACCAGCAGCAACAGCTGCAGCCTCAAAACAACACCAATAATTAGAGCATACAAGACATCTGCATGCATGCATAACGCATGCACGCAGGCATGCATGCATACCTTCTTGGTCTTCAACGCATTCGACGTGCTGCTGAACAGCAGCAGGGTCTAGACTGTTGTAGCACATAACATGGCGAACTAGCTCTGGTAGTTTGCTGCAGAGGAGATTTGCTGCTCTCCTGCCTTCTATTCTTCTGCCTCGCGCCTGCAGCAGAACGCAAGGGCAAACAACAACAATTAAACGTCTCAGCATGCACCAGACAAACATCGGCGCACCACCTCGGCCTGCTGCTGCTGCTGAATATTCTTCTGTCTCTTAGAAGAGGGACAGAGGAGAGGAATTAAACTCCTACAGGCAAACCAATCGTGCAGCGAGCCTCAACGTATTCCGCCGTCACTACAAACGAACTCCGCGGCAGCACAAACTGCCCTGGCCTGTCAATGCGGATAGTGTCCGGCTGCATGCATGCAGCAAACAGGAAATAAAACGCATGCATGCATGTATGCATGCGCGCATGCATACGCGCATGCAGCAACCACAACGCACGCAAGCTTGCTTGCACTCAAGCAAACGCAGCACATGTATGCATGCAAGGAAGAGACTACATGCATGCATGCATATAGCAAACAAAGTATGCATGCGTGCATGCATGGACACAGATGGTGAAGAACGTGCATCATGAGTGTATATCATCTGAACCCCGGACTATAACACTCTAAACAACCATGTTTTCCTGTCCTACTCCTAGGCCTAGCCCCTTCCCTGCTGCCTAGTGTATTATGCATTCAAACAAGAGCACATAGCAGCGGCATGTGCTGCTCTTCATGCAGCAGACACCCCGCCGCACTTTGCTGTCGTGCCATCCCCCCTGATGATGGCTCCCTTCTTCAGGACCCAGAATCCCTCCTCGCGAAATTGCCTCGAAAAACTTCCGCGTCAAGAAGTCGCAAAGAGCTACATTGCGAATATAAGAAGAATACAAATGAGGAGGAAACCTAAACAAAGAACAAGCACGCACAATGGACACCTAAAATATGCCGTTATCTTTAAAACTATTCATAAAAGCATGTATATACATGTATATTCATGCACATACATATGCGTAGTTACATTTGGTTCGCCTATCTCTTGAAAACAAATATAATATGCAGGGTGAACAATAGGCGGGTGTACATGCATGCACGCAGCGACAGACGGAAATAACAACAGTTCGTTGCATGCGCTTGCAAGAATGCATGCAACTAAGGTGCAGCCAGCCCCAAAGCTCACTGGGCGCGGGATTGGGGAAGACGCAGACGAAATCGGCTAGGAGGGGCGAAAGGGTCGGACTGAACTCTGGTGTACGTACACCCCAACGGAAACAAGCACACAAAACAATCAATCAAATGAACAAACAAATAAACAAATAAACAAATAAACACGCGAATAAACAAACGACGGGGGAAAAGTGTTGCACACGATGCAGTGCACAGAGAACGTAGGCAGCATTGAGCTAGAGAAGAACGACAAACAGCAGCAAACAAGCATCACGCAACAAACAAAAGCAAGCAACAGCAAAAAACACAAAACACCTCAACAAACTACGGCAACAACACGACTAAAAATCAAAGCCTTTTTCAGTACAGATATAAACACTTTGCATTTCATAATATTACTTGTCTAGAAATAACAAAAACTCGGAGACCTTCCAACACCCAATCAGGTCCTTGTACGCCCCGTAGCTCTTGCCTGAGAACAAACAAATAAAAAACCAACTCGCAGCACAAGCTGAGCCTTTACTTTCTGCTTAATTTACAGTTGTATTAAGTTGTCTGTCCTAGGCACAATGCTGCCTGGCATGTCCTCATAGAAGTGCATTGACGCATGGACATGCAAATACGTACATATATATGTGCGCATATATGTAAATATTATATATATTACACGTTTGAAGACGCATTGCATTGTGAGGCCGTAAGTTTAAAGTAAGCTTAAGGCTTACCTTCTAAGCTGACAAGACATCTAGAGAGGTCCTTATCGTGTACAAATGCCGAGGCAGATGCGCCAGTCTGCACGGAAGGAAGACACGGAATATCTGCTGCTGCTGCTGCTGCTGCTTCTTCTGTTTCTGTTGATGCGCATACATCTACTTCATGCCTAATTAAACCTGCTGTCCGTACACCGCAGCTTCAGATGCTGTAAATGCGTTGCTGCAACTACGCACCCCTCCTACAGCATCATCGTCTTCTTCTTGAAAAGGCCTGTGGCCTGAGGCATACCCATGGGGCCCTCCACCTCCCGCTGAGGCGTAGCCATGGGGCCCCCCCCCTCCCGCTGAGGCGTAGCCATGGGGTCCCCCCCCTCCCGCTGAGTGGTGCTGTCTGCCGCCTCTGCCTCCACCTGCAGAAACCGAACACGACGAGCTGCATGCGCTTCTTGCGCTTGAGTCTTTGCTTGCACTCTACTCGTTTCGTATGGATCGTGGAATATATTGCGATAATACTACGCGATGCCATTGCGTACCGCCGTATTTCGCCTTGTAATACGCGCCCCGGCCACTCTGAAATAATAACACAAGAAAGATGCAGAGAGCGTGGGACAGAGGGGCTCAATACCCACCAACGGCCAAGACACCTGATGATAGAAGGCAAATAATAGGACCTCAGTAGTAAGAGAGTTATCAGCGATTAGAGTGTAGAAGGAGAGCAAAGCATCTTTCCATACGCCTAAACCCACCATCTTGAAAACGCGGGCGCCGTCAGTCTGGTCCAAGTCTTTAGCCGCAGGTTCCCAGGGGAATATGCAGATTGAAAGAAAAATTAGGCCAATAAAATGAAGATTGAATATTTAATTTATCGTTGGAAGCCGTTTCTAGTCGATAAGATGAAACTACTGGGACAAACGCGAACGAAACACCACCGCATAAAGCGGATGAAACACCATACACAGAAGCTGCGGATCCTCCTGTGTTTTTTAATTCGTTGTTACGATTTAAAATGCAAATTAAATTGTACTTGGGAGGCAAATCAATCATCAGAAACTCCATTACAGGAACCGCAGACGACCGTCGGCGAGCGTTCTGCATGCATCAGTGCCTTTGAAGAGCATCGAGCCATCTTCTCTCCCTCCCTTCGCCATTTATTCAAAACTTCTTTATGTTGTTCATCTCTATTGCTGTTTAAAATAAACAGTATCATTTTTTTGAGTTTTTTCATCAACTTCTGTTCTCAGAAGAGCTACATAGAAGAGAGGGCGTCTGGGGCCCCGAGGCCCTTCGTGCCTGTGAGTCTTCTTTCCTCCACTCAAAAGGCTACACCATGCCGTACAAATGCATTTATTACTTCATTTGATTCATTTAATCTTGAGACACAGCACAAGTTGAACTTATTTCGCAACTTTTTCTCTACTTTCTCCCGTGTGCGCGTCTAGGGAAGGCGCTCCAACGACGAGCCGCCGCCTAGCAGCGGACAGCAGCACAGCGGAGTGATAAAAAGACATTTTAGGGAGATTGATAGATTTCTTCTGATAATTTAAATTCAATAGACCGAGTTAACTGCAGCGCGGCGCTTGTTCTGTGACAATGGAGAGAACGCAGAAGAAATCGAAGCGCGGGAGTGCAGCCCCCAGCACAGAAGGAGGTATGGCTGCAGCTCTCTTCTTTTGTAGTTAAAGAATCTGTAAAGATTCTTATACAGTGAAACGCCTCTGTTCTTTTCATATACTTCACCGTCTCTGTGCTCCTTTTGCATCCCATCCTTGCTGTCCTTTTTGTGCATTTAAACAACTATCTTCTTTATATATATTATACTTTCATTTACCCTTCCTACAGACACTTGAGGATGAGCAGAAGAGCTAAACGAAGCTGTTCTTATGTGCTGCGGTGTACGTACGCGACTTGTTCGTGCGTCGTTGATTTCTTTGTGTGTAGACAGCATTTGCATTATTACTGTGTTCAGCTCCCTCCGAAAGGCCCCTCGAGATATCAATTAAACAGATGCCCAGGCACCACCAGGCTGCCCTCTTCACTGACATTCAAAACACGCTGCTGTGGTGAGCCTCTCCCTTCATGTTTCCCTTCTATAATGCATTCAAAAAATGCATGCCTACATGCAGCGCATGCATATGTGGTTGTCGCATCATCATATATAAACGCCTCTTTAATTGACTCCAGCGCATGCCTGTACACTGCAAACATTTTTGCTCTCCCTCCGGCAGACAGTGGATACAAGGCAGAGCATATTTCATCTTCTTCTATTGCTCTCAGGCTTTGGTACCGGCAACAGCAACAGCAACAGCAACAGCAACAGCAACAGCAGCAAGAGCAGCAGCAGCAGCAGCAGCAGCAGAAGCAG